GTCGGAGGAATTTCATCAAACAAATTACAGGTGTTACCAAAGATTGGCTGATTTAAAAGGCCAACCACAAATTATGGGAAAACATTTCGCAACAAGAAGATTCTGATTGGTGGGCTTGTGAAGAAGAATCGAATTTGAGGCAAGGTGTAATGGGAAGAGGGAAAATAGATTATAGGCATTACCAAAAATTATTAAGCACTAAAAGGAAATGAAAAAGCAATTAGCAGAAATAAATACATATTTGTTATGCAGAACCAATAGAAAAGAAGAGGCAAAGAAGGACCTACGATGATGATGAATTTGGGGCTGCTTTGTTTTTAGGGCACGACACCATAGACAAGAGAATGCTGAAATTTTGATCTATGTCTAGGGCTGTCAACGGTTCGGGTCTGGACCCGGACCCAGACCCGGACCCGGACTGGACCCGCCAACATTTGCCTGGTACAGATAGATATATAGACCAGTGACCCGGACCCGGACCCGGACCCATTTTGTCTAATAAATTTGCGGGTCGGATACGGAATATACCATTTCAACCCGTATCCGACCCGAACCCGTTTTAATTAATTAATAATTAAAAATATATATACCTATCTATCATAATTATTCATATCAGTAATGTATTCCCAAATTTTTCTAACTCTAATACCCACTCCCCACCGCTGCATTGCCTGCACCGCACATCCCTTCTGGCTTCTTCCCCTCAGTCCCTCATTCTCTTTTCTTTTTGCCTTGCCTCCTACCGCCTCCGCCAGACGCCAGTGAAGTGACCAGTCCGCGTGAAACCGGCGACGCTGTCTGACTCTCTCCATCTCCAGTTCCAAAGAGACCGCTGGATCTGGCCAGCTCCAAGGAAGCCCAGCTCTTGCAGTCTCACTCTCTCCTCTTTTCCGGTGAACAATTCAAGAAGACTGCGACCCACAAACATTTTCCTCTCCGTAGTCCGCACCAGGTATGTGCTTCCTATATTTTCACTTTGTTGAGGAATATTATGTCAACCGTTGAAGTTGATTAGTTCTGATATTTTGCAATATGGAAAAATCATGTAATAAAACCTATGTTAATTGATGTTTTTCTCTCTTAATTCTCTTTTTCAGAACTAAATATCGTGGGATTTGAAAGCAAACTTGCTTTCTAAAGTTCAATTTGAGCAGGCAAACCTTGCTTTTCCTTTTTTCCTAGCTTGTCTATTTCGTGGGATGTGGTGATTTTTGAGGCTTAATGTTTGAGGCTAAAACTTGTGCAAGTATTCAAGAGAAAATTAAAATCACATGCAGTATTAAGTTTCTTCAAGAATCATTTCTACGGCATATTTTGGTATTAATTTTTTACCTTACCACACTTCCTTATCTTTATAAATATTATTATGTGAATTAATAGTATCAACCATGTTTCCGAAAAAAGAAAAAAAATAGAAAAATCGAAAGAGAAGAGGTTCAACCGTGTGTATTCTTATCCCTCAAATAAATATATGTCTATATTGATGGATCTCGTACCAAAAAAATTATGCATCGAGGGACCTAACACAATTCTAACACAGCTTCCTTCTTCTGCCAAACTGATAACAAAATTCTGTTTGGTAAATTCTGTTTGGGTCTAGATGAGTGCATGTCCACAGCAGTATTTGGTAAATTCTGAAAAAGCCTTTAAACTTGTACCATGTTTATCTAATAAATTCTATTATAGACTAATTGCAGGATGTCATCTTTGCCAAGTAATCCAACAGGACCAAGTAGCACAGCTGATGAGAATGAGGTTGCCAAGTCCAACAGGCCCGACCCAGATTCGGGACCCGTCGGGTGTAGGTCCGGTAGAAACAACAGGGGACCCATCGGGTATTCAGGCCGAATCTAGAACTAATGTAGTATAACGGGTCCGGGTCCGGATTTATCAATTTTGGCCCGAACCCGGGCCCGTTGACAGGCCTATCTGTGTCCATCTAACGTTGCCGCTTTTAGTCATTTCTTTTATTTGATTTTTATTTGGTTTTTAAGTAAATGAATGTATATGGTTTTTGTGGATAATCCATGTAAATCCATTTAATGGTTTTACTTTGGTCAACCAATTAAAACAACTGCTATAAATGGATAATCCAAAACCATTTGATTATGCATTATATGGATGGATAAGTGGATATCATTCCAGATTGCTACCTCTAATCACAAATATCAAACAATATACCATTTTTATTCTATTCAGTTATCATGATGTATGGAAAGCACCTTACTTCATAATTAATAAAGGTGTCTTAAAGCAAAGATTAAGCTTATTGATTTATGCATGTTGGTGAAGGTAGTGGTGTTATTGACAACAATCTGTTTGAAAAGGTACTTAGAAGTTAGAATTGTAGGGATGGAGACAAAGTGGCGGCATTGGGGACAATTGCCTCTGCCGACCTTACCAAAATCTCCATATCTATATATAAAATTGTAATTTTGCTCCTATACTTAAATGAAATTGCTCCCACTATCGATCAACAAAATTTAAGCATTAGAGAATTCTTCCCACCAAAATCTCCATAGATGCATACAAAATTGTAAGTTTACATTCACACTTAAATAAAATTACTCTCACTACCCATCAACAAAATCTAAAGTAGTAGCACTTTGTTTATATGTCTCTATATCCAAATAATTTAAAACACTTAAAATAAATTACACTACCTTGTTTAAACAAAGAAAAAGACTCAATTTGCATTTATTTTTCTTCTTCATCAATTTTAATACGCTACCAATACACAAACCTATTTCAAAAGATTTTTTTTAAAAACTTTTTTCACTACACTTTGGAACACACAAACATTGCTCATTTTTTATTTTATCTGAACAAAATCTAGAGAAAATTTATTAGGGTTTTGAGAGGAGAAGTGGAAGAATCTTTATTTGGAAAGTGAGATTTGAGAGGTTTTGTTTTGTTGCTAAATTGTAGATTAATTGTGCATATAACTTTTGGCATATACTGTTAATTAAACTTTTTTTTTCATATTGTAATTATTAAAATTTCATATGTTAACTTTATCCCCACTGAATTTCCTTTCTAGCTCTGCCCTGTTTAGAAGAATCAATATTTCACTAATAATGAAATGAAGTGATTTTAAGTTAAGTAATTTATAAGCTAGGTGATGGAGTGGAGAAATTTTTCTTTCTACCTATCACAAACTATCAAACTGAAGATTAAATCAAATTGTTAAATTGTTAAGTTTCACTAAGAGCCTAAGAGCCTGTGTATAAAGGGAGCTAGGTGATGGAGTTAAATTGTTAATTTTCATTGAGAGCCTAAAAGGTTAAAGAGATTGTGTATAAGGGGCAAGTTTAAGAACTTGACTAGACCAAAGAGGTGCTCTGATACCTCATTTATATATTTTTTTTATTGCAGGTAGGGTTCAAATCCGGGATCTACAACCCAAAGAGGGACTTAGTCTCTTTTTGGTGGCCACTGTGCCAAAGTTTCACTCATTCTAATTGGGTTAACTTTGCTCATAGGTCATATAATATGATGGCAACATAATACATAGTTAGAGAACTTAATAAATGCAAGCTGGGAAACAACTATGCTTTACTTATTGCACTCTAATTTTTTTCAACAAATATTTCAAAATCTCACTCGATGTTTAGTTTACTTTCAAATCCTGATCAACATTTATGTTTGGTTCTAAAAAAGAAGAAATTTTGTATTTTTTTACTAAAAGAAAAATTCTATTACTCCAAATTAACTTGTTCCCTATTATCACAAAATGTAATGAGTAAAAAGTCATTAATAAGTGGTCAAATTGCCCTTCTTTCTATGAATATCAACAGTTGCTTTCTTTTCTTCACACAATTTCAAAATTTCTCTCTCTCTCTCTCTCTCATAGGTGGAATTTTGTTTAGGTTTTGGGTGGAGGGGGGCTGGTTGAAAAATTAATTTTTTTGGTCTTAAAACGTTGAAATTTTTTAAAAAAATAACTTTTGTATAAATTTAAACTTTTGCCTTCACCAAAAAAAAATAAAAATATTTCAAGTTATATACATAAATTTTAATTAAATTAGAGTTCGTCTCCCAAAATTTTTTTTTTATTCTGTCTATGCTCTCTCAACAAGTGTAATAAGAACAAAATGCCCAAATACATGCATGTACAACTTAGTTGTTGAAGTAAAGGAGGACATTTTGACCGTTTAACTAGATTAAGTAATATGAACGACTTTTGACTCACTAGATTCCCTGCCTGCGGATTGATAGGAATACATTACAAAAAAAAAATTGTGTAGTTTGAGGATGTATGGTGCTAAAATTCTCCGTTTGGATTAATTACATTTAAAAGTGTTTTGAAAATATTTTACTGTAACAATATATATAAAAAAACTTTTACTATAGATATTTTGGAAGGATTATTGGAATATACTTTGGAGTATCTTTTAAAATTAAAATATTTTTTAAATATTAATACTACCACCCATAGCCACCCCTCCTTCTTTCTCCTTCCTTTCCCTTCCTCTCCACCCCCAGCCTTCCCTTCTCCCCCTCGATTTGGTTGCGGCTAAATTGAAACCAAAAAGTACCAAATCTTCTAGTCGCGATCTGCCCATGAGAGGGGGAGGGGAGGGCCGGAGGGTGGCGGAGAAGGGGAGGGGAGGCGATAAGAGAAAGGGTAGGAGGGGGAGGAGAAGGAAGAAGACAGGGGGTGGTGACGGTGGTAGTGTGGTGGTGAGGGAAGGGTGGCGATAGTAGTGAGTCGGGGTGGTGGCAGTGATAGTGGATGGTGGTGATAGGTAAAAATTGTTGTAAATTTATTTTTAAAATTTTTTTTTGTGTGTATTTGTGAGTTGTTTTTAATATATTATATGAATGAAATGTTTTTTGAATTATTTTTATTTGTATATTACTGTAATATTATATTTAAAAAACTTATTTTAAAAAAATAGAAGAATCCAAAACGGAGCGGATAATTTTTAGCACTTTGCAACCCAAAGAAAGTCCAAGGGGGTATTTCGAAATTCTGCAAAACTACAGGAAATTCTTACTGCCCTAAAACCTAGATTAGACCCCGAAAGAGCAAAATCCCCCGCCCCACTTAAACATTCCTCTCTAAAAAAGACGTTTTCCTTTGCAGATTACGATTGATAGTCGATGCTTGTTGATGAGAATCCCAATCGGATCTTCAATTAAGCTTCAAAGGGCCAAAAGGGTTCTTCCTAAATGCTCTGTTTCTCTCTTTCCAACCCCTGTTATTTCATGTCTTCAATCCTATGCCCCCTCTTCTCCAAAAAAACTGGGCCTAATCACCAGATTTTAGCTTTCCATAAATTCTCTATGCACTTGTTTTGTTCTAATTCTCATACCAAGAACCCTCTTCCTAGTTGAATCCCTCTGTTTTCTGCACAAGATGAGTGACTCCAAGTCCAAGGTTTGTGTCGTCTTTTGTAATTTTTGCCATTTTTGAAGTTGTTTGATTTTTTTATTATATTATTTATCGTATTGGAAAGATTTACCCTTTTCCTTTGTGATGGTTTTGTACGTTAGTGAGAATTATGAGGTTTTTCAGTTCTTTGTTTCTGCTATATTTGTGAAAGTACTGAGAAGAAGCTCAGATTTTTGTGTGTTTGAAGTTGTGTATGAGTCTTATTTCTGGAATTTAGTATACTTGCTTGAAATATTTGGTGAATATAAGTTGAATTTGCAAAAAATTTAGTCCTTTGACTGAAGAATCAACGAAAAGTTTAAACTTTGAATGTGATTATGGAGCATTGCTTTTAACTGTGCTATGCGTATGATTATAAGAAGTTGTTCTTTCACCCCATTTTACTTGTTTTTAGTAGTACGGGATTGTTTCTGTAATGTTGGGTTGCTATTCCAGAGAATAAGATAAGTATTGCAATTAGTAAGAATTTTTTTTTTTGGGTGTTAAGTATGTATCAATTGCTTTCCAGTTGAAAATTGTTTATTTTGATTGGTCAATGTGAAATTAGTCCAAAAGAAAGGCATGTTGGAGGATGTGTAAATATTTAGTTGGTGCATCACTAATTAGTTGCTGTCAGTATTCGTTCTCAAATTACTGGGTGCTAATGTTGCAATGCTTTTCTGGGTGACTTTATGATGTTGCTGCCTTGTTACAAGTCATTGATTAATGAGTGGCCATCCAGTGATTACTGTTAATTTTTTGGTGAGTTTGTGATTTTGCTGACTCGCTACGAGTCATTGACTGATTGATTGCCACCCATTGATCAATGTTACAAGTTCAAGGAAGTCTTTAGGTGGACATGCCTGTCTTGCATTTTGAACTTACTTTTGTGAAGCTGTTTTTTGAAAAAACTAGATGGTTTTCGCCTTCTGTTTAGTTTTGTGGTTGCAACTTAGCAGTTAACTGGAGAATTTTTTAGTCATCGGAGACCATAGTCTCTTCCAATTGGGGGATTGCTTAAAGCAATGTTTTGTGAAATAACAGTTTCTTTCAAACAAATAAGAATCCAATGCAATAGAAAAATCTTTTTTTAATGATTTTTCTTCTCCCTTGGTGGTGTTTGGGGAGAGGAGAGGGGGGAAGTTGGTTTTTCTATTGATAACCTCATATGGTGACTACTTTGATGCTTTTGCTTTTCTTACCTATGGTTTGCTCAATGTTGCTTTTCTTTTCGTATTGCAGGTGTTGCTTTTTGGTTCATTTACGCAGGATGAAACACAAACTATGCTCAACCAATCATTTAGCAACAGTACCAGGATTAGTAAAAAGAAAGAGTTGCAAGTTGATTCTGCCAGCCCTGTTCAGGAATTATCTTTTGGTAGTTTTGGCAATGACCCTGGAATACAATTTGGTTCAGTGAAAGCACCTGTAGATTCAATTTTGTCTGACTTGCAAAGGGGCAATGAAGGGCATGGTGTAAATTCAGTTCATAAGCCCATGGGAGGTGATCTGAAAGAAAATGGAAGTGTTGACCAATCTATTCACTTCTATAGCAATGGGAATAATGAGTCCAATAAAATTGATGTTTTGGACTTTTCTGTATCATGTGTATCTGGAAATGAAGATGAAGCTTTTCATAAATCCCCTACCTTGAAAGCACAAGTTCTTGATGGCGTGGATTCAAAGGGAGCATTTTCAAATGGAACAATTAGCGATTCCTTGGATATGAAGCAATTCAGAGAAGCCCTTCAGAGGTTACCTGATGGTCCTTTTGTTGCTTCTGCGGACCTTCTGCCTCGAGGTCTGATCAACTCAGGGAACCTGTGCTTCCTTAACGCAACATTACAGGCTCTCTTGTCATGTTCCCCATTTGTTCAGCTTTTTCAGGAGTTAAGAATATGTGATGTTACTAAGGTGTTCACGTCAAGCCCTTAATTCGATCTTTCTCTGTAGCCTCTACTGTTATATTATCTTTTAATCTGTTATGTGTAGACCATTATTCTTATTTTTTTTTCCAATGGTTAGGTTGGCTTTCCAACACTGGCATCATTTGGTTTATTCATTAATGAGTTTAGCTTGCCAAGTGGTGTGAATGCAAAGAGAAAAGATGTTTCTGTTATTGAAACTGGTCGGGCTTTTTGTCCTGCCATATTTGAAGTGGTTCTGAAAAATTTCACTCCTGATGTGCCCACTAGCACAGTTGTTAGGCCAAGGTATGTCTGCGTTGCACTGTGTATCTCCTTCCAACTTATCCTGATGGTTGCTGTCATAATGATCTTTTTCCCTCTCTGGTTTAGATGATCATTTTTTTAGGTTAGTCTGTTAAGGCTGATAAATTAAGCGTTGCTTTAGTGGCCTTTTTTTCTATAGCTTTGATGATTGAGTGAAAATTTTTGTCTTTTTGTTGAAGGGATTGCATTAACTACTCGAGTAAAACATGTACTAGAAATTCTCAATGCATAAATGTTAATATCGGTAAACTTCTGTAGTTCTTGAGTAGCTTGAGGTTAACAGACAAGCTGAAGACTACTATCTTGAAGTTGATGATTAGTACAGGAGTTAGATGGAAATGACATTGTTGATGGTGTAATTGAGTTCACTGTGCAGAATGTGTTGTTAAGGCATTAGATTTTATTATTCGCTTTTGGTGTTGTAGCATGTGAAAAATTAGGTTCTGCTAGAGAAAAAGTTACCGCATAAGTCAATGTTATAGTTCCTTTATTCCCCCCCCCCCATCTCGTTCAACATCATTATGCATGCGTATCTGAAAGCTACACCTGTGTGTATGTTGTACTTTGAGGGCAGATGTCCTGAAAAGTTTGCTCTTTTGTATATTTAGTAAATTTTATTATGATTGACTACATTTAGGAAGCCACTATTATCCTTTACAGGCAAGAAGATGCTCAGGAGTTCCTTAGTTTTGTCATGCACCAACTGCATGATGAATTACTCAAGCTTGAAGGTCAGTCAAGCTTGAATGGAGGAAAATCATATGTTGTCTCTTCAGCTGAAGATGAGGAGTGGGAGACTGTGGGCCGAAAGAATAAGTCTGCTGTCACAAGAACACAGAACTTTGTTCCTTCAAAGCTAAGTTCAATATTTGGGGGACAATTGCAAAGTGTTGTGAGGGCAAGAGGTAATTGTATTTTGGATGGTTCTTTGTTGCAGTTAAAAATATGGTGGCTTAATGTGGTGCAGTTAAGAGGAAATATATTATGATACAAAATTTTGTTTAACTTATTCTACCTTTTATGTATCTATTCAACATGAAACAAGTCCTTGGTGGTACATGATATGACAAACATAAACGCATTGATGATTGGTTCATTAATTGTTCACCTAGATCTGGTACCTCTTTGGCCTGTATATTTTGGTTTTACTACTATACATATTTTTGGTGCAATTCATTTCTGAAAAAAGGGTGGGAGAGTGGAGTTGGTTCAAATATGATAGTGATTCAATACTGTGGTTGCTTAGCATTGATATTTTCTGTTTTCTGCTTTTATGCCTTGTGTGCAGTTGACACCTTTTCTTGATTGTGTGATCAGTTAGTTTTGGATCTTTCTTTACATATGCCCTTTACGTTTCTATCTTTGCAATGTGAATAAGTTCTCTATGTAGCATAATACCTGAATTATTTTATTTTTAAAGGTTTATGATTTTTTTTAACCTATTCTTATGTGAAATAGGAAATAAAGCTTCTGCTACTGTTCAGCCTTTTCTTCTGCTCCATCTTGATATCTCTCATGAAGCTGTCCGTACGATTGAAGATGCTCTTCATTTATTTTCTGCAACTGAGACACTCGAGGAGTATCGAACATCAGCCAGTGGAAAGGTAATCTGTCTTTATTACATAATGTTGTATTTTTGGTGTATTTGAAGATCAGTAAGCATGAAAAACTTGGAAAAGGAGGTTGGATCGAAGGTTGTCTTTTGCTTTTCAGAGAGCTTGAGTAGATAGGTGGGAGTTTATAGTTTTCAATAATTGTCAGGCTCCAGTCTGCTTCTTATTTATGATTGCCCTTTTGTGTTGTTCAGATTAGATGAAATATGGTAATTTTAGTCCTTTAGGCCTCTTTATTGTCCACCATGAAAACATTTGATTGCATGATAATTGCTTTGCTTATTAGACCTGACATTATGCAGTGTGGTTTTTTCTTCTTAAAATACTGTTTTTCAGTTGCTGGACTTCTTTCTGCTTGAAACAGACATGCAAGTGTTGAATGGATGGTTTGGACACGTTTTTATTTCTGTTTTTAATTTTTTGCCCTTGTTTATTTGTTCTTTTGGTAGTTAGATACTTGGTGGCTTACATAATCATAGTTGGATCGAAGTAAAAACTCTCTATAGATAATGAAAATGGATGAGTGAATTAGGACCAATTCCTTTAGTTGGGGTTTGTGGGAGGAAGGGGAGCAAAATATGTCTCATTGTGTATTTTCTGGTAACCATGGAAGATTTATGTATTGTCTCTTGTGTGTGCTTTTATATTGGAATTGCGAGTATAATTGAAGAATCTTGGAATAGCATAATGGGCTTTAGTTTTGATTTATATGTTCATGATCTGTCAGGCTGGCTTTGCTACTGCAAAGAAATCTGTTAGCATACTGACACTTCCCAAGATAATGATTTTACATCTGAAGCGGTTTGGATATGGAACCTGTGGAAGTACCAAACTACGTAAACCAGTGCGATTCCCTCTGGAACTGGTCCTTAGTCGTGATTTGCTTGTTTCTCCAACTACTGAGGTAGGGATCTTCCAGTGCGTCATATTTTCTTATGTAACTACAAGTTTTTGCATGATAAAATAAATACTTTCATGTTTCAGAGTGTTTATTGTTGAATGAGATGCTTCCTGTAGGATGGAATCTCTATTCCTAATTCTCAGAACAACAACAAACAGGTTCTTTTTTCCCATGATGTCAGTCAGCAATGACAAATTGGGAAAGCAGAAGTGTACTGAGAACCTAGTTGGTTTCTTTTGAGTTTTGTGGAATTGGGAAAGGTTTTAGAAATATGGAGAATTTGTGGCAATGTGTAGCTAGCAGTACTTTCAGCCACATTGGCAATTTTTGGAAAATTGTAAATGAGATTTAGTTCAATTCTTTTGTCTTGCCATTGTGCAGGGACGAAAATACCAACTTGTTTCAACAATAACCCACCATGGAAGAGAAGCATCAAGGGGGCATTATACTGCTGATGCATTCTACCCCAATGGTCGTCAGTGGTTGCGGTTTGATGACGATTCTGTCACTGCCATTGATACTGGCAAGGTACTCCATGATCAGGCCTATATTCTCTTTTATAAACAAGTGCCACGGTGAGAAATAATCTGTCAGTTAAAAGGCCTTTTCTCTGGGGAAGATGAACCTCTTGGTACTCGCAGAACTGCTGAAGCAACTGTGGAAGCAAATCTTGAACACCCACATGACAGTTGAGAATAACAAGAAATTTTGTAATTCCTGTATTTTTTTAGAGCTTAACCGGATTATATTGGTCCATTCATTTTTATCATACTTCAGTGTGAGGGGCAGAGAGAGCGACGACAAAATAAAAAGGATTAAAGGCTTTAATGTGTTGAAAGAGGGTTGGTAAAGCTGCAAGTACTAGTAACCAATGTTCTGGACTTCAGAGGCTCGTTTTAAGGGATCAGCAGTATGCAGAATTAGCACTTATGTTGCCCATTCTTCTATGCCTTTTTTTCCTAATATTGGAAATGGGTTTGCGGATTTCATGATTCATGTTTCTGTAATAATCCTAATTTGTATTGAACAATTACCTATGGTTGCTATTAGTTTTAGTTTATCATGAGTAATGTATGAGTTAATTAGTTTTGTCATCAGTAAAGTGTAAGTTAATTACAAAATAACAATTTATAGAAAAAAAAAAAACAAATAGCTTAGTTGACCAGTATGGTGATGAACGCAGGGCATGCACACAAAATTAAGTTCAATTTGGATTCAAATTTTATATTTATAAATTTTTAAATATTCTATGGGTTATTTTTTGCAAGTATAGGTTGTAATTGAATATAGGATATTAAGAGTCAAATTCACAGAAAAGAATTAAGGGTTGAATTCGCACAGAAGAATGGACAATCACGGGTATTATTAAAATTTCTCTATTATTGAAACGATCAACAAATTGAAGAAAATAAAAGTATACTAAAATGTACAAGAAAATAGTAAATAAAAGCTTCTTAGATTACGATATTCCTAATTACTCATGTAAATGCAAATTTTTAAATCATTGAGCACTGCTATCTTAGATAGTTATGTTGAAATTTCATTATGTTTTTTAGAGCTCTAGTAGTGAATCATCACTGCTTATTATCAATCTATATTTACTCCTATGATTATGAAATTAGTTACAAATTTATTACTTCTATGAAATTACATGAAACAAATCACAAAAACCATAAAAGTGCACATTTACTCGCATGAGTCCACTTCTAAGTTTAGCACATCGTTGAACTAGTGTTAAATTCCAATTCTCATTGCAAATCGAACACCTAAGGTTATCACAATCGATGGGCACTTAATCATGATTAGATAAACAAAAATGCTAAATAATTTACTCAAAATAATAGCATCAAATAGTCAAGGAATCAAAACAATACAATCATAAGAAGTTCAACCAAAATCCAAGGCACAAACTTTAAAAATAAATAATAAACATAAATCCAAAACCCGTATTTTAACTAAATTTAAAAATCCAATACAAAAAATAACGAGTTGGAGAAGAGAGAACCCTTGTCATATAAGTTTGATCCCTTCCTTCTTCATCTCTATTTTCATTCTAGTCTAGCCAATATACAAGAGTTGATGACACACTCTACTGCCTAAACGATACTATGATAACCTAAAATTATATATATATATATATATATATATATATATATATATATATATATATAAGAGTTACATTTTTGTAGTGTGCTCTTGCACTCTTCAAACTCTCTTCTAAATAAGAAGACACAAGCTTCTATTTATGGAGAAATATTCAAGCCTTTTTGTATCTTCTTTCAAGCGCGAACATTGGCTTCAAATGTCAATTTTTGTGCCTTCAAAGCTAAAGCACATCATTATTGAAAAATAAGGCAAAGAATTGTTGTTAGAATCTCCACTTTATAGCTACAAATCTTTCATAAAATGTTCCTCAAAGATGTGAAATAATAGAGTTGAAATCAAGTTATGCAAATTGTAGCCACAATGTTTGACCAAAATCTCTCTTGCAATTCATCCGGATTTTTGGTTGGATTCTTGGGGGGATTACTCCACTGTTTCAACAAAATTTTTTCCATTGAATCCCTCCAGCAATCCCTATAAGGATTCTCAGAGGGATTCGAATCAACTTTCTTTTTCAACAAATTTCATCATTTTCTTGCTTTTGTGACTTGAACCACTCGCCATCCTTGTGAACTTTAGGATTTCAATCAATATAATACAAAACTATTTGTTATCCAAAATAAAGTCCATTTTCAATTCTTACAAAAATAACCAAAATTATAAGAGTAAAAGGGACAAAAATCTTATTTAAACATTAAGTAGCATTTAGAACTAATTCTAATTAAATGGACCATTTTTTTCTTATAATACTACAAAAGGAATTAAAATTAACATAAAATATGATTCCAATATAGCACAAAATAGTGACTTATCATGTAGCTTCCTTTTGAACATGAAATAAGTGATATGCAACCATGATATCTTCGAGTATACTAAGGAGTGGTCATCATCGAATATCCCACAGTGATTGGGTCACAATGGAAACACATACCAGTTCTATATGCATGCTTGGTTGCTGGTTTTTTGAGAAGAAACAATTTTTTTTCCGCATCTGAGTTGAAATTATTTCATCTACTAATCAAATGGAATACCTAGCCTTTTTTCTTTTTTCTTTTTTGTTTTTTTTCTGGTGGGATTGGGGGGGGGGTGTTGTTCAGGTCATCTTTTTACTTTTTGTTGGAGTTGGGCCTTTTGGCTAGATCTGCTAAAAGTAATCAATCATTGGGTCTGCAAATAGATTAAGCCCAAAAATTTGTCTCATTTAAGGCCCATTTAGAGTTGCGGTGCTTATGATTTAAAAAAAAATTATTTTTAAGTGCTAAAAGTATTTTTGAGGCTTTTGTGAATATCATTTCGTAAAATTAGAAGTGGAACTTTTGATATTAAAAATACTTTTAGCAAACTAAAATTTAATGATTTTAGAAAAGATTTTGTGTTGTAAAAAATAAAATATTAAATTTAATTATTTTATTCTATATTATAAACTAAATAAAGAGATAAATGCATTTAAAAATTTTTAAATTACATATTATCCAAAACAATAAGTACTTATTAAATTATATGCCCAAACAATACACTTAAAAGTACATAAGCATTTAACAAGTGCTTTTATTAAAAACTCTATTACATGAAATACTTTTTAATAAACTACCACAACTTCAAACGGCCCTTAATTACATTACATTCAAATTTATAATCAATGAGTCCAACTTAAAATTCGCTGTTGAAATTGGAAAATACATAAGAGCGAGAAATTAGAGATGCTATCTGGTGTTGTCCACCTTATCTGCTCTTAGTGTTGGGATCGTTTCTCCTTTCCATAAATTAGTTTTGAGGAAGGTTCTGTACAGATCAAGCTATTGAAAGCAAAGAGAAAAGGAACATAAAATGGGATCAAAGAAACTAGCGAATTTAGCACTAACTAGATAGAAATAGGTCCAAAGTGCATCCAACGATTAATTGACATCCAACGCATTGAATTACAACACATTCAAACCTGAAATGAATGTACTCTTAAGTACATTCACTTTCTAAATGCTTGCCTCAAATTCTCTCATAATATTCAAGATTTGTATTTGTCTTGTTTTGTCATTGTCTTGGAAAGTTTCTTTAAGAGCATCTCAAGCTTCTTTTGCCGTTTTACAAGCCATGATTTTTGTGAATATTGGATCTAAAATTGCAAGTGGGTATCTATCATGGCTTTCGATCTCTTTTTGACTGTATCTCTATGAGATCTTATCTTTATAATTGTTGATTATTTAGCAATATTGGAACAAGGTGTGTCGCCTCCATTTGTACTCTATATAAAAGTATCATGAGTCTTGATATTTTGGAGTACAAGTGTAAGCACGGTTGTGATCTTAATTTTTTATATTTCAATTATGTCTTTCTTAATTTGTGGTTAAAGTTTCATATAATCTTAATTGTGGATGGTTTATAAGAAAATAATGTTTGATTGTTAAGGTTATTATATTGCATTAGACCACATTGATTTAGATAAAAACATCTCCTTAAAGTTATAAATAGTGAAATGATTTGAGAAATATAATGATTTGAGAAGCATTTCTCGAATGAATTATATAAGTTGTACATATCCAATTCAGAAGGAGAAGAATTTTTCATATGGCATCCAATGGAATTTCAATATACAAAAATTTATGACACCTTTATAATTAAAATAGCAATATTACATTGGAAAAAAGAAAAATATGAAAAACCACCATCCAAAATCATTATTATCATTAATAGCAATTCCTCAAAATAAGAAAAAGTGAAAACCTTTCATAAAATGACATAAGTTGAATAACAAATGAATTAAAATGCTAGAAACACAATTCAAATATTACCAAAGGCAACATCCAAATCACTTATATCTAGGGAAAGACAAATGTTGTTATTGGCAACAATATAGTAATGCTTCATTTGTATTGGTTTGATCAAACAAAATCTATCTATCAAACCCTGTCGAAGCCATTTCCAGTGATAAAATAAGAATTACAATAAGAATAAACTTAAAATGAAGAATGATATCCAAATTACTTTCAATGATGCCCAAAATACCCTTATTTTTCTATTGATTACATATATTTATTGTATTGCAATATTAGTGAATAAAGATAGTGGTTATGAAATGAAAAGCTTTAAAATTAAGTAAATTTTATTTATTTTGACAATTTAATTAGACAGATTTAGTGCATTCCAATAATTGACAATAATGGTAGCCATTATGGATTAAAAATTGGCAATTGAAAAGATAAGACACTGCAATATACTAAAAATTGATATTAAAATTGTTAATTAACCACAATTCTCATTCCAATTCCATGATCATCAACAACACTGATACTGAAACCAAAAATATCGTGCTCATATGAAAAAAGTAGACTTTCTTTGCATTGGATTGTGCTAAAAAATATGATTAAAAGAAAAGAAAAATGGAAAACACCCAACTATCTCTATATATGAAATTTCAAGTGTTAGAATGCACAAGGCAAAAAAAAAAAACTCTACATGGTGGATCATTTATACTCCATCGTTGATAAAAATAGCATTAAAAAGAATACAGAGAATTCAAAATACATGTATGTTTATTTTTCTAACTTAATTATATTCTTTGTTTATAAAAAAAAATTGTTACAATTATGGTTTATGTAATAAAATCATGAATATACGATAATTTTGGTAAAACATGATATTATCAATATTTGATATGTTAGAGTTCAAGCTATAAATCAAAAAATGTTTGATTCATGATTCCAAATTTAATCCTAAGAGACATGTTAACTACATTGGAATGCTTTTTGCCTCTTTCCATTTAATAAAATTTTTAAAAGTAACTGCCTAAGGAAACTAATTAACATAAAAATACTATATTATGATATTGATGATCAAAATTTCACAAAAAAATTTTAGTATCTAAAAAATAATACATTTTAGAATATTATAATCACGTGCAAAGCATGTGAACTATTACTAGTATCCTAAAGATCACTAGCCACCAAATAGAATCTCATCTTGACAATA